AAAAAAATGTTTCTATTGATATTTCAGAGAGGAAGGGAGAGGGAGAGGTAGATAGAAACATCAATGATGAGAAAGAATCATTGATTGGCTGCCTCCTGCATGTCCCCTAGTGGGGATCGAGCCTGCAACCCAGGTATATGCCCTGGCCGGAATCGAACCCAGGACCCTTCAGTCCCCAGGCCGACTCTCTATCCACTGAGCCAAACCAGCTAGGGCGAAATCAGGTCATTTTAAAAGAGAGAAGCAGATGCTAAATGTTTTGTGATATTCTCAGTGGTCAGAGAGAAAACTAAAAATTATGTTGAAGGCCAGCCCCAAATAACTTCCTTTCAGAATACATTACTCTCTAGACAAGGCAAAAGGAACTGTTGGGTAACTTTATAGGAGTTAGCTGTCCTGAATATAGAGTAGGTTATGAAATTCATTTCTCTGAAACTGAAGCTAATACAAACCAATATAGAATGAATGAGATCAGACATAAAGCAGAAAACATTACCCTGGGATGAACTGTAAATTTATTGTTCTTGAGGCTACAATTCTTCCTTGATTCAATTTAATTCAACAACATATACTGAGCAGACTAGTGATAGGCATTCTGCTAAAATCTGGGGGTATAAGGTACCCAGTCCCTGCCCCCAAGAAGCTCACAATCTAGTAGTTTTCTGGGTTAAAGAAACAAGAAAATTTGGGGCAGAACAAATAGCATGTGCAAAGGCCAAATCAGTAAAAGAGCACCAAGCTAAGGGAACAGGCATTGGGTATACAAGTCCAACACTTGGTGTAGTCTGGGCTGGGGATCAAATGAGTGTCACTAGCATAGAGACAGTAGTAGAAACCCTAGGTATGAAAGAAATCATTTAGAATAGCAGTTTTCAAAACATAGCTCATGGTGCCTAACACCCTTTGAAGGCCTGGTCTATGAAGCAATAACTAATTTCCTAATTAAAATTATTTACCTTTTTCTCATTCTTTCATGAGTCTATAATGGAGTTTTCCTTAGACCACAAGACAAGTGATATTATCATCTCTATGACAGCTAATGAAATATATGCTTCTGTGTTCTTATGTTTTCTAGCATTTTCTAAGATAGGTTTAGGGTATAATTTAATCTCTCAATTTTTTTTTCTTTCTCAATTTTTCTGTTGTAGTCTTCCTAGCAATCTTTAGCAATATTTGCTATCCTATGCAAAGCAAAGGACTGAATCCAAGAATACTCTAACAAAGAGGGATTGGGCTGAAACACCTGAAGCATGAAGTCTGTCTGCAGAGGGGAAGAGGTGGAGGATGCAAGAGAAAGGGAGAAATCAATGAGCAACTCTTAAACCAAATAAAACCAACAATACCCAGTATCTTCTTTACAAAAACAAGTGAAGGACTCTGGTTTTGTCACAGAAAGCCGGACTACCCAAAACCTGCATTCTTACCTCAGACGGGGGCGGAGGCAGAGTGGGAGTAGGGATCTGAGGAAGGCTGCTCAGCTTGGCCCCATTCCGCACTAGCTGGATGTGACTATTAAACTGGTCCTAGAAAGGAGGAAAGGAAGGGATGACCCTTCACTGCCGAGCTGAGTGAGCCTCCCTAGAAAGAAGCACCCACCATCCAGTCTGAAGAAAACAGAGGGAGCGGTAGATAAGCTCTCGTGGCAAAGCAGAAGGTCCCTGCCCCTCACCAGCTTAAGCACAGCCTAACTCAGACTCAATGCTCCCCATTACTACACTTACCCGAACGTTCTTTTTCATCATCCGAACTCCATTCAGTCTTGTCTCCCACTCCTGTTTGGAACGAACTGTGTCTAGTGTTGGGGGAGTTGACCTTTCAAGAAACCAACAGGAATTTACAGAATTAAAGAAAACCTAACTCTCAACGCTCTGAGACAGCCTAAAAGGAATGGCCAATGGACCGGAGAGAAGGCCAGGTCGTGTGCCTCACTTTATCTCCAGCATCTTTTAAGCCAAGTATTGGAGAAAGAGAACCAACCACTGAGACAGGGGTCTTATCTGCCTGAGAAGGCCACAGGGTCCTGCAGATTCCATGGCAAGAAGAGAAATGACTACATAAGAAACAAATCGCCAAGGATATTTGATATGCTTCCATAGCATAAAAGATACTGTTTATACAACTGGGAATAATACAATAGAAAACACACAACGAGAAGACTGCAGAGAGGAAGAATTAGAGAATGCAGAAGTTAGGATACAGGAAGAGAAATCACGGAACAATTACTACTGCACAGACAGGGATGACCTTGAAATTCCCGTGATGATACAGCAAGTGCCAGACTAGCTGGCCTAGGGTTTCAAACCCTAAAGAAATCAAAACAAAATCCAAAACACTGCAGGACCACTAACATTCTAGAATGGGACGATACCTACTTGAGGTAAGTAAGGTGCAGCTCTGCCTCTTTTTCAGCTTCTTCTAGCTTCAACACCAGCAATTCTTTCCGACTCTCTAGTGATAAGATCTAGGAAAACCACACACACATACTTGATTAATTTTAAATACACAGAGCTTAGTTAACAAAATACTTAGTGACTATATGGTGTAATACTTACATGGCTTACTGGTTAATACTATATCAAAAGGATTTACCATCGGGAAGCCCAAAATCAAAGCCTTCAATATAGCAACTCTTCTCACCTCTGCCTTCCAGGCCCGTTCTGTCTCTTCCATAATGTTCTGATTTATTTCACCATCCTGATTCTTCAGTCTATCCAGTTCCATTTCCCACACCTCTCTGGAAGATAAGAAATGAAGAACAAGACTAAGGGGAGAAAGACAGCAAGGCAAAGTAAAACCCAAAATTAGTCTGCCAAGTATGTTACAGGAAGTCTTACTCTAAGTAGTAACTATAGATATAGACAAATAATGTTTCAAGTAGTCTGTAATTGCACAAAGGCAAGTAAAATCTGAAAGTTAAAATGTTCATATCTCCACTTGCTAAAATAAGGTTACCCAGACCAAGAAAAAGAGTGTCCTTGGAACTAAAACCCACTGCAGGTAAAATGTCCTTCTATGATCAAGGAGGGCTCAAAATCATTATGGCATCCGTCTTATTTCCAACTTATCTGGAGAATGCAGGACAAAAAAACAGGGATCCATTTAATACTAATCTCTAAGTCACCACTAAGCACAGTTACTGGGTTACTGACGTTACTAATCTCTTAGCTGCAGTGAACATTCTTCAACAGGAAGAAACCTTCTCTTTAGATTTCAGGACTTCACATTCCCATCCGTTTCCTCCCTGACACTCCCACCCCTAGAAGCCTGTCTGTCTAGTACTGAGGGATTTTCCAGGATGGGGGACAATGAAGGGACAGAGCCAGCAAAAGAAATTCCTTATATTACACTTGATTGCAATAAGCTTTATGGCTGAAAGGAACAGGATTACCCAGATCAGTCGACAGAAAAATATAGAAAAGTTTAAATTATTTTAAAAAGGTGAAAAGGTTGAAAAGAGCTACATCTTTAAAATGTTCCCAGTTTTCTTCAGTGAGAGAAACAGTTTTATTCATTCCTCTTCTGTGTTCTTAGTAGCCTATGTATTTACTTAAATTGTTGCAGTCTCTTCTTTCGATTGACCCAATGCTCCACACATCCTGTGCTCTGCTTCACAGATAAAGTATTGGTGTGTTTGTGCGTGTGTATGTGTCACACACATATTCACTGATTCACTAACAGGAGTCTGCCCCTCTACTAACAAGGTCTATTTAATGTAACAGAAATGACTAGGTGGGCACTTTCTTCCTTAATCCCCATGTGTTGTGCTCCTCAAACTAACTTCCTGCCAGAGGAAAAATTCTCTAATAGTTATTTAGACAAAGGTTTACAGTAGATGTGTTTTCCTGCTATAACACAAATTCCTCAAGTTAAAAGATATATGAGAAGTCAAAATTCTCTTAGCATAAGAATATGTAAAATACGTTGTGGGGTCAATCCATGATCTCTTTAGCCTACCAGTCACTCTTTGACAAAGATAATTATAGGTAACCATTAGTTGCCTTCTTTGATCAATGTTATCCTTGAAGATTATAGATGCTCACTGAATATCTCTAACTTCATTAAATACATTTGTCAACGACAGATAGACACTTATATTAGAAAAATCCTTCTACCATGCCCATGGAGACATTCCACATATTCACGCACACACACAGCTTTTCCTTTGGGCATTTGGCCACATCTACTTCATTGGATCCAACAAGACAAAAGGGACTACTAGTAACCACCACAACAACAACTGCTAGCAAACAACTTTAAAAAATCATAAAAATTCCCAGCCTTATATGTTAACTAACCTGTAACATATATCAGATTTCATTTCACTAAAGAGTACTACTACCTGCAACCCATGCTAGAAAAAAAAATCAGTTCCCTAGATAGTAAAAAGAAATCCTCGGTAGAATAGAAACAGTGCACTGAGTGAGTCTATTGTAACTTTTTTTTTTTACTTATTTTTTATTGATTTTAGAGAGGGAAGAAGGGGAAGGGGGGAGTGGGAGAGGGAGAGAGAGAGAGAGAGAGAGAGAGGAGAGAGAGAAGAGAGATACACGGATGTGAGAGAGATACATACGTCCGACTAGAGATACGTCCGAATAGAGATGGAACCCACAACCTAGGTATGTGCTCTGACTAGGAATTGAACCCCCGACCTTCTGGTGCATGGGATGACACTCCAATCAACTGAGCCACACCAGCCAGGGCTATTGTAACTTTTTAAATGCTTCGTTAAATTTCTTTCAAGTCCCATGTTTCTGTTATTTTAATGGCTAGTTCAGGGAATCAACAGTTCAAATGAATAAATCCTACCAGATTCTACAAGCCTGACTTATTGTAGGCCCCAATGTTTGCATCATAATTTAAAAATTAATTTTGTTTTTGATCAGGTAAATAATACAAATTATAAAAAGTTTAGAAATACAAAAATAAAGAATATAAAGCCCTAGCCTGTTTGGCTCAGTGGATAGAGCATCGGTTCTTGGACTGAAGAGTCCCGGGTTCAATTCCGGTCGAGGGCACGTACCTTGATGCAAGTCTTGATCCCCAGGCCTGTTTGGGGCTTGTGTGGGAGGCAACCAATTGACATGTCTCTCTCACATTGCTATTTCTCTCTCTGTCTCTCTCCCTCCCTTCCACTCTTTCTAAAAATCAATGGAGAAATATCCTCGGGTGATGATTAACAACAACAACAACAACAAAAAAGAATATAACATAAAGGTTTTAACTCTTCTACTTATTGGCTGTATAAACCTAGATAAGTTAATCTTTCTTAGGCCTCAGTTTCATCTGAAAAATGAGTAGTAACTATATCACGGGATTCATGGGAGAGTTCCCTGAGAAAACACACATGAAGAATTTAATATAGTGCCTAAAACATGGGATGTATCAAAAAAATATATTTTTTAAGTATTCTTAACTCAATTTCTCACAATTACACTACTAACAAAGAACCATTGTTATACTTCTTTCCAGTCTTTTCAAATAGATATTTATATAAGTACTAGAGGCCCAGTGCATGGATCCATGCACTGGTGGGGTCCCTCAGCCTGGCCTGAGCCCTCTCATAACCAGGGACCCTTCAGGGGATGTCAGTAGTCTGACATCCCCCAAGGGATGTAGTAGTGCGTAAAGCGGCAGGTGGCTGGGAGGAGCCTGAGCCCGGGCCGGGCACTGCACTGCTCCCGCTCATCCCAGCCCTGCTTGGTGGCACTGCTGTGGAGACAGGAGAAGCTTGTACTGCCACAGCTGCGCTCGCCAGCTGTGAGCCCAGTGTCTGGCGCCTGTAGGTCAGCTGAGCGGCGCTCCCGCTGTGGGAATGCACAGACCACCAGGGGGCAGCTCCTGCGTTAAGCGTCTGCCCCCTAATAGTTAGTGCGCATCGACTGGTTGCTTAGGGTTTTATATAGACTAGAGGCCCAGTGCATGGATTCGTGCACTGGTGGGGTCCCTCAGCCTGGCTTGCGCCCTCTCGCAATCCAGAACTCCTTGGGGGATGTCGGACTGTTGATTTCGGCTAGGGACCTGTGGTGTTCAGGCTGAAATCGACAATCTGACATCCCCTGAGGAATGTAGTAGTGCACAAAGTGGCAGGCGGCTGGGGAGGAGTCCGAACCCCGGCCGGGCACCACGCCGTGGCAGCTCAGTACTGCTTCCAAGGAGGCAGGAGAGGCTCACGTTGCCACAGCTGCGCTCGCTAGCCATGAGTCCAGCGTCTGGCGCCCGTCAGCTGAGTGGTGCTCCCACTGTGGGAGTGCCCTGACCACCAGCGGGCAGCTCCTGCATTGAGCGTCTGCCCCTGGTGGTCAGTGCATGTCATAGCGACCGGTCAAACTAGAACGGTAGACCAGTCGCTTAGGGTTTTATATTACCCTATATAATAAAAGGCTAATATGCAAATCAACCGAACAGCAGAACAACTGGTAGCTATGATGTGCACTGACCACCAGGGGGCAGACGCTTGACGCAGGAGCTGCCCCTGGTGGTCAGTGAGCTCCCACAGGGGGAGTGTCACTCAGCTAGAAGCCCTGAGCTGGGCTCACGGCTGGCGAATGCAGTGGTGGTGGCGGGAGAGGCTCCCGCCTCCGTGGCAGTGCTAAGGATGTCTGACTGCCGGCTTAGGCCGGCTGCCCGTCAGTCGGACATCTCCTGAGGGCTCCCGGACTGCGAGAGGGCACAGGCTTGGCTGAGGGACCCCCCTCCCCGACCTAGTGCACGAATTTCGTGGACCAGGCCTCTAGTAGATATATAATATACAAATCCATTGTATGTTTCTCAACAAAGACTGCAATATTTATCTTACAGCCTAAGTGCCCATCAGCAGATGAAGGGATTAGAAAACTGTGGTACATCTACACGATGGAATACTATGCTGCTGTAATTGCTATCCTATATAATAAAAGCTTAGGTGGCATCATGCGATGTCATCACAAGATGGCCGCCATGACATCATCACAAGATAGCTGCCACAAAGATGGTCACCACAAGATGGCCGGCAGGGGAGGGCAGTTGTGGGCGATTAGGTCAGTAGGGGAGGGCAGTTGTGGGTGATCAGGCCAGCAGTAGAGGGCAGTTGGGGGCGACCGGGCCTGCAAGGGAGGGCAGTTAGGGGCAACCAGGCTGGCAGGGGAGGGCAGGTGGGGGTGACCAGGCCGGCAGGGGAGCAATTAGGCATCAATCAGGCCAGCAGAGGAGTGGTTAGGGGGTCATTAGGCCGGCAGGCAGACAAATGGTTGGGAGCCAGCAGTCCCAGATTGTGAGAGGGATGTCCGACTGCCGGTTTAGGCCCGATCCCAACATCCCCCAAGGGGTCCCAGATTGGAGAGGGTGCAGGCCAGGCTGAGGGACAACCACCCCCCCTCCCCCATGCACACATTTCATGCACCGGGCCTCTAGTAATCTTTATAATCTCTTACTGTCCCATAAATCATTGCTGTAAAATTTCAAAGTTCTTCATGCATCTTGGGTAGAAACAAATACTTTTTGTTACTTTGCTTTGCAATAATATCTAAAAAAATTTTTTTCAAGCCTGGCCAGTGTTGCTCAGTTGGTTGAGGGTTGACCTATCACCTGGAGGTTTGCTGGTTCGATTCCCGGTCAGGGCACATGCCCAGATTGGAGGCTTGATCCCAAGTGTGGGGCATGCAGGAGGCAGCCGATTGATGATTCTCTCTCATCACTGATGTTTCTCTCTCTCTCCCTTCCTCTCTGAAATCAATCAAAAATATATTTAAAAAATAG